TTTATGTCTTTTCCCTATGCTTGGAAAAAATACAACCAACCCAACTGTGAATTACCCTACCCTCTGCAAAGTCTACATCCACTTCAGTGTGATCGCAGTGACTGTGCTGTTCCTGTGAGCTTTGGCGCCTGGGCCACAGATTCGGACTGCAATGATATCAAAGAAGGTTGGCCTCCACAGCTCTCAGATTGCTAAAGTGTCAGATGAAAATACAAGCTTTAACTGAGCAAACTCAATTATTCCTGCTAATAAGTAGATAGTTCAAAATTGAATTTCTTTCAAAATCACCATTCGGCAAACACCCAGTGAGTGCCTATTTTGAGAATACAAAAATAAGTAAAATATGGAAACTGACCCCTCAAGAAGCTCACATTCTAGCTGTGAAGAGAGAAAAGTTTCCTAATAAAGTATAATGTAATTCAATAAAGCTAAAATACAGCTATGAAACACAGTCCAGAAATAAATCACACACACACAGGGTCAGCTGATTTTTCAACAAAAAGACCAACCAGTCAGAAAGGGTAAGGCACATTACCGTAGTCTAAGTGAGAAATGAAGAAGATCCTGAAGTAGCCTAATTCACATATCAGCTATCGAGTAATATTGAACTCCAGGAAGCTGTTGCTCATAAAACTTAGAGAGAAGCTCAGACAGGCAGACGCCTCGGTCTGCTGGGGTTAACTTCCCCTCATGATCAGCACTTGGCTGGGGGGTGGCAGGTGGCAAGCAGGCAGAGGCTATCCCTCGCCCTGTAGGAGCACCAAGGGAGCTTCTGGGGTGACGTCCTCTATAGCTGGGCATCTTCCTGGGAAACCGTGCGGCACTGGGGCGGTCTTGGCAGCACCTAAGAACACACTGTGTAGCCCCCAGCTTAGTGTAACTAGATACCGTGTCCTATAGTGGTGTCCACTTGCTTCTTTCTTGCAGTCATGTCCCCATCCCTTTGAAATAACCAGGCACATAATTATTCTGAAGTTAAGATGCTTCTCATAACTCTGCCCCAAACTACTCTACTCCTGCCAACTGTTCTCTGTACTACACGCAGAAGTGAATTCTGATGTGGTGCCCTGACCTGAGGTCTGGCTCTAGCCTAGGGGCATAAATGGAGGCCCTGTTTTAATACATCTGATGTCGAGCTAATGTAAGTTTTGCATATTATCAATCTTAGTACCTATTATGGGGATAGTAGGATCATTTTTCTGACCCTGCTATCCCATCCTTTAAACCCTTTAACATTTTTCTTCATGAATATGTGCCTCTCCTAACCGCCCTTGGCCTTTTTAATCTTTCGCAGTCTCCCTGAGTTCAATGACCTAAGACTAACTCACAAGTTATTTAGTTAACAGCTCTGCGCGTAGCTTATCTGTTGGGTTGTCAATCTGGTGAGAGTGACCTGCCTATATTCCAGGCTATAACCCTGTTACTCACTACCCCTGGCTGATGCTTTCAGACACCCAATGAGAGGGGGCCCTCTTCATCGGGGTCCCTATCCCTGGTTCCTGGCTCTTCCCTTGAGACGTTAGTCCCTGATACTAGCTCCTGAACATCAACCCTGTCCCCAAGGTTCAAACACACTGCCTGCCTGAGGCCTGTCTCAGACCTTACATGTCTTGCCAGATGGAAAGAAATGAGAGAATGAAGCAAATGGAGATAGGGGCCTGTCTGAAAAGGAAGCATGTCTATTATAATAGCAATTACAGAAACAGCAATAAAAAATGCAAGAGGACGTGAGAGGTGCACTGATTTATTCATCATTCAGGGTGTAGAGGTGACAGATTCGATCTAAAGTTAATAAATCAAGAAATAAAATGATATAAAGATAATTAATAGAAGCATAAATATTTAAAGTTATAAAGGAAACCATTACATAACAACAACAAAAAAAAGTGCTAAAAAACCAGACTGGGAATTGGAAGAGAGTTTATATCTTTTATTTGAGATCATTCTGAGTAAGACTAAGTTCTTTTTTATTTATGTGCAGTAATAAAGTTTTTGATATGCAGTTTAAAAATCAAAATATATTAATTAAAAAGCACCTTCTAAAATAGGTTAAAAAAACTATATCACCTGCATTCAACAGTGACATATGGCTGTTGGAACAAATGCACTAGATACACAGGTACTGGCGGGCAGAGTTGACCGAGCTGTTATGTTAAAAGAAAAAAAGGTAGGAGGCAATATTGACTGCATGATCCCACTGATGTGAAAGATACTTACCTTTACTTATGGATAGAAAAAGGTCTAGGATACAAATTGTTGAGATTAGAAGACAAGCAAAGGGAAAAGAAAGTTCTTTCTTTACTTTCCATTTCTATATTGCTTATATTTTTTATAATGAGCAGGTCTTATTTCAATAATTAAAAACAACTAAGAACAGTGACATAGTTTTATAAAACAAAACACACTTTGCCACTACTAACCATGTACTTAGTCCAGATGGTACACATAATGCCTAATGGAGCGTGGTATTCCCTCAATATAAAAAAAATAACCTAAAGGATCTCTGGCTCAAGTTATTCAAACGTAAGTACAAAGTCTAGTGTATGAAGCCTGACAGTATGTTACCTGTGGCCAGTTTTTCCCCCAATGGAAACTTTTGTTATGACACGTCTTTAATCATCACTAGAAATTAAGCAGCCATACAAATTACCAGCTTCTAAAAAAGAAATCTTTCAACCTACACAGCAGCAATAATCCCCACCATGGCACCAACCATGCAGGTCTGGGCCCTCCTCTCTCCAATAATTAACCATGGCAAAAATCTCCATTCCATCAGAGCACCAGTGAAGCTACAGTATCAAGAACAGATCTTTTTAATTTGCTTAAAAATTGTGAAATCTCCATTAACTACCACAGTTAAGAAAATCAAATTGCAGTATGAACAGTTTCTAGTGACAGAGAAGAACTACACTCTCAAATTCCCAATTCAATGCACTGTCCTTCCAGAAATCCAAGGGTGAAGGAAAAGACCCCAGCAGGGCGATCATCTCCAGAGGCAATACCACCTGAACCGGGCCAGACCTTCACACCTTAAATTAAGAGGTTTAAGAAACAACTAAATAACATTCACTAGCAAGATTATTTTAAGAGTGAACATAAAATAATCTCATATTAACCCTCAATGACTGAGTTTATCGAACACTGAGGTAAAGCAGTTAACATGATAGAAGACAATGATGACATTTGGTTTACACAATTGTTTTGGGCGGGGGGGGCTGGTTTGGAGGTTTGGACACAAGTAGGATGGTCCCTTTGAATGTATGTGGTTTCAATTAATTTGTTTCATATTTGGATTATATGTGTGACACACTGCTTTTACCATGCTAAAGGGAAAAAGAAAGATGTGAGCTTATGACAAAGAAAATGTTAGTATTTGGATTTGGACCAGACAGGGAGGGGGAAGCTGAATAATAATAGAGAATATAACTACTTTATACTCCATTGGTAAAAAGCAGGGTATAAATACTGGGCAATAAATATAGAACATGCAATAATTAAAGAACTCAAGCCTAAAAGAATTTCCTTGAGACAGTATGTTTTAGTGGACTGTCCTCAACTTGGAGTTCCTTTTTCCTCTGTGATCGTATAATGTTGGTTTATTTCCCTTTAGCTGTGACACATCATTTTCTTTTTCAGTTTGGAATGTGTCACTTAGAAATCCCTTCCAAGCCTGCCATCTTTAGGACGTGCCACTGGATCCTCCAATATAACTGCCTGTTGCTGCGTAAGTTATAGTCCATCCTCCGTCATTAGCCCACTGGGCAACCTGGAGCCAGTCACCTGATCTTATCACAGCTGCATTTCTCCAACGTGTAACATGACAAGCCAAGCTTTTCCCTAAGAGCTCCTTCTAGCTTATTTTTCTTTCCACGTTAACAATTTATCATTTTATCACTTTATACAGCTGAGGATGGGAACAGATTTTCACAGAAACTAAAATGGAAAATTTTTTAACACATTCTTTTATATATACATGTATTTTTTAAATAATTTTCCTCTTACTCTTCAGGGAGGCGGCAATGTCAACAAGCACAGTAATATCAAACTCTGAATCAGAGGAATTGGCAAGTTTAGATGATGAGGTAAATGTCTCAACAATGATAGAAAATTAGATAAATTTCACATTCATCTTGTCACATGATCTGGCGAATTTCCAAAACCTCTGGGTTGGAGAGTGAAAAGATTTCCTTTGAGATACCACCCTGTAGAGGCAGAAATAACATTCCCTTGTTCTGTTTTACAGATGAAGAGGTAGGTGTACCACCCTCTTCATGATGAGCATTTGGATGGCAAGATGAAGAGACTCCAGTTACAGTAAGGCCAAGATGGGGCAAAGGCACAGTGGTCACACCCAAAACTCCACAAGTGCAGAAGCGGCTGCGCCGGGGACCCTTCTGGACCTCGTCCTATGCATCCCTTCATCTAGCTGTTCTTTTGTATCCTTTATAATACCCTTTATAATAAACCAGTAACAGTTAAGTAAAGTGTTTCCCTGGGTTCTGTGAGCCATTTGAGCAAATTTTTAAACTGGAGGAAGGGTCATGAGAACCCTGGATTTACAGCCAGTCAGTCGGAAGCACCCAGACTTGCACTTGGCATCTGAAGTGGGAGACAGTCTTGTGGGACTGAGCTCTTAACCAGGGGGTCTGTACAAAATCCAGTGTCAGAAGGGAGTTAAACTGTAGGCATCCCCCCCGCCATCCCCACCCCCCCACCCCCACCGCTGATGCACACAGGGAAGCAGAGAGTCCCTTGGTGTGGAAGACCCATGCATCTGGTACTGGAAGTGCTGTGATAGGTACTGTGGTCACAGAGCTGCGAAGGAGAGCTGGGCTTTGAGTCCAAGCAGTCAGATATTAGAACCTGCACTCTAAACAATAACAAAGGGTTTGAGCAAAAAGAAAGCCAATTCATCCTTTCAGGTTCAGAACATACATGCCTGCTTATTGACAGCAATAAACGGCTGGAAGAAAAACAAAAATTGCCACATGAATTCCTACCTGCGTCTGCCTCATTGCCCGTTCCACTCGGCGCGTGCTTCCTCTCTCCAGCTTTGTCCGCAGGATCAGTGCTGACGTCTGAATGGCCCAGAACTTTGGTTGTGAAAGCAAACACTGATGGAAGAGAAAAAAACAAATAAAATAAAATAAAGACCACAGAAAGAAGAGACGCATTGGTTGATTTCTCTTTGAATAAAACAAAATTAATTCTTCCAAAAATACCAGGATACAGCTGAATGGAGAGTTGAAAATCTCAGTGAAAAATAAAACAAATAAAATAAATGCTTTCAAATATTCTTGGGAAGAACATGACCATTGAAGCAAAGTCATTACTCAGCCTAATGGATTCATTCTACTGACTAAACCCCTTGAAGAATGAATCAGAATCTTTCTGGATGATCAAAAAAATAAACAAGATGTATCACACCATAAACTAATAAATATTTTTATCTCACGGATTACAATATACATGAGAAAATAAACTACATAAAAATAAATGCAGATGGAGGGCGTGGGGTAATAAAAGGTAAAGGTGGTCAAATATTTGGTGACAAAAGATTTGGCTTTGGGTGGTGGGCATATATGCAATATATAGAGGATGTATCATACACTGTACACTTGAAACCTATATAATCTTACTAATCAATGTCACCTCAATAAATTTTAATTTAAAAATTATTTAATTAGGGCCTTAAAATAAAAGTAAATGCTATTTTTTCTCAAATTTGAAATAAATTTTTAAAAATCACCCAAATTTACCAATGAAAACAATTAGAAATCTGGTAATACACACACACAAGTAGGCGGTTCCACCCGCCTGTTTCTCGCCCTGCAGCAAATGGTTTCTTCCCAAAAGGCAGGGTGCTGGGCTTTCCCAGCCCACTCTCCACCTTTCAGAAGCTGTGACTGGAGAGGAGAACCCAGCCAGCAAGCCCAGCCTGGTGCAGATGCTCAGGGCGATGGACGCTGGATTTCCCTGCATCACCAATTCGTGGTTGACAGCAAAGATAGAGAACCTAAAGCCATCTTCATAGGGGAATCCTTGGCCCAGCTCATGCACCAGTGTGAGGTCTGGCAGGGAGCTCCTCTCTCCTCTGCATGCACTTAACTTTGTGGTGGTGCTGGCATGCAGCGCGCGCTAAGGCAGCTGGAGGATGGGGAGGTGGGTCACAGCGCCAGACTGCAGTGGTCTGGGTGGGTGCGAACAGCCACAGGCACACAGCAGAGCAGGCAGCTGTTGGCATCAAGGCCATCGTACAACTGCTGAACCAGCAGCAGCCCCAGGCCCAGGTCACGGTGCTGGGGCTGCTTCCGAGGGGTCAGCAACCTAATCCACTTCATGAAAAAAGCCAAAGGGTGAATGAGCTGATTGTATAAGCGGTGGGCTGGCCACCCACGGAAGCACTTCCTGGATGCTCACCTGGCTTTGTGCACTCAGATGGTGCCATAAGCCACCATGACATGTATGATTACCTTCGCCTGAGCCACCTGGGCTACGCACACACCTGTCTGCTGGGCCCTGCACTCCCTGCTTCTGCGCCTGCTGGCCCAAGACCAGGGTCAGGGCGACCCCTGCCACAGCCCACACTCTAAGCATCTACTTTTCTGCAACATTAAATTCTTGTTCTTCAGTCAAAAAAAGAAAAGAAGGAAGGCAGGGAGGGAGGTAAGGAGACAGGGAAAAAGAAAGAAACCTGGTACCTTTTCACTTAACAAATAACTTAATTCACAGATGTAAATTCAATTTAAACTTTAAATACAGAGAATGCCCAAGAAATTAAGAGAGACTGGCCTTGAACACGTATATACAGAGTCCTAACACCAGAGAAAACTGACCACCATCAGTTCAGAGAATGCAAGAGAAACTACTGAACATGGCCACAAACATGGTAGGGAAAAATGGAAGTTCTTGGTGAGTGAAAACAGGGCAAAAGTATTGTGATACAAGGGGGACTGTGTAGTGTAATGAACAAAATTTAAGCTCTTTACTGATTAGTTGGAATCCAGTACTGTCTCTGGGTGATCATTCATAATAATAACTTTTAGTAAAGAACACTGTGAAGAAAGGGAAAAGGAAAAACAAACTTGTCTGAAAGCTGACTACCGGAATACTTCATTTTATTCTGATTCACAAATATTGCTTTCTTAAAAAAAAAAAAAAATTGAAGGCAAGACCCTCCACCAGCAAAAAGACTACAACTCACTTTATTACGGTGGCCTGGAATCGAACCCATGATATCTCTAAGGCATGTCTGTATTTGAATTTTCTTTATTATATTTTTTTCCATTACTACTTAATCCCTTTATAACCCCTTTCCCCACAATCACCACACTGCTGTCCATGTCCATGAGTCCTTTTTCCTTTTTGCTCCATCCTTCCCCCGCTTACCTTCCCCCTCCTTAGCTGTCAGCCTACTCTCCATCTGTGAGTCTGTCTCCATTTTGCTTGTTAGTTCACTTTGTGCATTAGATTCACATATGAATGAAACTGTATGGTATTTGTCTTTTCTGACTGGTTTATTTCTCTTAGCATAATGTTCTCCAGGTCCCTCCATACCGTTGCAAATGGTAAAACTTTCTTCTTTTTTACTGCCAAGTAGTATTCCATTGTGTAAATGTCCCATAGTTGTTTTATCCACTCATCATCTACTGATGGATACTTGGCTACTTCCATATCTTGGCAATTGTAAATAATGCTGCAGCGAACAGAGGGGTGCTTATGTTCTTTTGCATTAGTGTTTCAGGTTCCTTCAGATATATTCCCCGAAGTGGGGTCACTGGGTCAAAAGGCAGTTCCATTTTTAATTTTTTGGGGTATCTCCATACTGCTTTCTACAGTGGCTGCCCCAGTCTGCATTCCCCACCAACAGTGCAATAGGGTACCCTTTCCTCCACATCTTCGCCAGGACTTGTCTGTTGTATTTGAATTTCCAACTCTGAATCTAGGCCAATTCCCTTACAATAAAGAGGAAAATGAAGTATCAACAGGTTAAATCATTTGTTCAAGGTCACACCTTCATTAGTAGCAAAAGCTGACTCTAACTCTTGGTCTCTTGATCCCCAGAACATCTTTATTTGTTTGTTAGCCCTTTCATAGAATGACCTGTGCTCATTCAAATGATGGAGATATGATTACCTCCAGGAAGTGGATGATAGTACCCGAAACACTGATGGAGTCAGGTAAGAAGAGGACTCAGTAAAGAGCTTCAAGAAGCTGCTATATTAAAGGGATAGTGGAAGAAGAGGAATAGGCAGAGAATACACGAGGGTGAAGAACCCAAAGAATGGGGTCTTACTGAAGCACGTTTGTTCACTAACTCACTGGAGCACCTGCTCAGTAGAAGGCAGTGTGCCCAGGGCCCCAGGGACAGAGTAGCAGACCCGACAGGCAAGGTCCCCACCTTCCCCGAGGTTACACTCAAATGCAGTGTCTATTACGTAATCTTATTTTTCTATAACTGCAAACTAAAATACTTTCATTTCCTTCAAATATACTTTACAAGATTAGTGAATAACTTTGTCTTGTTAGCCTTCATTATTTAAATTTACAAACAGAATGAATTTACCAACATAAAAGGTGTATATGGTATTACAAAGACCTAAAAGATAAAATAGAAGACATTAAAAAACTAATTCTTTAAAATGTGTAACATGACTTGGCAGGAGATTTTATTATAAAATAGGATCTCAAGAACTTTCAAAAGAAAGAACTTGCTTCATTAAGTAAATCTACAAGCTGACTCTACTGCCTACAGTGGGTGGTATCGCTGCCTTTTTTCTCTTCAGCTGATTAAAGGGACTGTCCTCTGTAACCTCCCGACAACAGGACAGAGGGCACTCAGGGCCCAGCTCTGCAGAACAATGGGAAAAGTCTCCACCTCAGGCAGAGCCTGACTGGAATCCCAGCTCCACCAAGTGAGGCGATTAGCTGTGTGACCTTGGGAAGTTACCTCGCATTTCTCCTTTGCAAACAGGAAGAGCCATTCCACCTCGCAGAGTTGCAAGGCTTAAGTATGAATCCGTGAAGCTTCACAAAGCCTCCGGGGTGCCCACAGAAAGCCCACAGAAAGCCCCGGGGTGCCCACAAAAAGCACACTACAGGCCTCTCCCCCTACAATGCTTTCTCTCGCCCCTAACGGCAAATCACCATACAGGGTGGGTCCAGTGACGGGACTTAAGTCTGCCGGGGGGCTCCGAACATGGTACTCCAAAATATGGTGCCCGAATACTGAATATTGTAAACTGAAGGAGTTTGAGAAAGCAAAAGCAAGAGGATCACTCTGACCTCCGCCCCTCACCTTCTCCCCTGAAAAAGCTGAGAAAACCCTCCTGTGGAAAGGAGCGTCCTTATCTCTGAAGACACACACTGTGGAGAATCCCAACAACGGGTATTTCTAAGGTTCCCCTGGCCCCCTACCCTTCCCTCATTCTCTTCCATGAGGGCCCAGTCCTCGTCAAACCTCGCAGAGAAATGCTTGGGGTTCATTAACTGTTTCTTCAGGTCTTCATTTCCTTATGAAGGCACCCATGTCACGCCAAATCAATATTAAATAAATTTGAGAGCTTTATCTCCTGCTCATCTGTCTTCCTCAGTTTAATGCTCCGACTCAGCCAGGGACCAACCCTAAGAGGGGGCAGGAAACTTTTCATCCCCTACCCCTCCCAGTTGCACTGCTTACTTTACCAACAACATTGCTGTCAACGTAAGAAACATTCAAAACCTGTAAAGAATTTTGCAAGTTTATTTGAGCCAAACTGGCAATAATTGCTGGAAAGCAAAATTGAGAAATGCTCCAGAAAATGGCAGTTTTGCACCCCAATTTATACATTATAATCAAAAGAGAAGACAAAAGGGGTCACACGAAATGCACTGGTGATAGATTAGGAAGGAAATGCACCGGTGATAGATTAGGAAGTTGAGAGAAAGGAAAGGAGGGGGAGAGAGGGAATCTCTGGGATTGGATAAAAAAATGATAGACACCTGCTTCTTCTACCTAGGTGAGTATTGCATAGTTAACAGTCAACAATGAACACAATCACAATAACAATGAGGGGATTTGTGGTCTCCACTCAGCCCCTGTGCCTGTGCTTGAGGGGAGGGGTGGGGTGGGGGG